CAAACCTGTGATTACAAGGTCACATGACAACAACTTTATCAGTTATGTCATGACTCTCTTTTTAAAGATTTTCCCCACTAAGTGGGATTATACTAAGTTGTTGTTGTTGTTATTGTTGTTGTTGGTATTGTTGGATCGAAACAACGAGAGAAGGGCACCAAATTTTTTCCGCATCAGAAGATATGCGAACTTTACACTGCTGCTCATCTCTCTTAACTTCAGCCTGGTGTGGCACTTCATTTCTTTTGCTTTCCATGGAATAAGGTGGCACTATCATCTACTAACTTTTGCATCCCACATCGGTACAACGTCTTAAGAAGTGGCTTCAAAATGGCTGTGCTGACAAGACCCATACTCGCCAATTTTTTCACTGGCCATAATTTTCTCTAAAGATCGAGATGGAGTCCCCGAGGAGAAGGTTCTCGAAGATGTATCTCTTGAGGATATGCCCCCAAAAGTAGATTAAGTTCTTGGATTTTCTTTTTGCTTCTTTGTTTCTATGTAAGGACCTCTCGTGGGCTTTGTAAACATCTTTTGTCAATATATGAATTTCTCTATTTCATCTTGGATTCTTGTTGAATTCCATTCTGCCTTCGTTTGTGAAAAATCCGAGTGTATAATTCTAACGATTAATCCGAATATCAGACCCGGAACATAATAAACCCTTAGGGTTTAATCGACTAATATAACACCTCTTAAGGTTCTTTGTTAATCCTAGTAAGCTTAGATTGATTTGATCTGAGCTCGGGACACTGAGACTCCTGAGTTCGAGTTGAGTGAGAGCAAGGTCCCGAATTTAAAATAAAGTTAAATCTTTTAGGCTTCGTATATAGTCCCTGAGTGGGAGTTTTCTGAAACTCGGGTAACCCTTGGGCTTAGTAGTCGTCAGCACTTGTTCGAACTTGAAATAAAGTTAACCCTTAGGCCTCATAGGTAGTCCCCGAATGAGAATTTTCTCAAACTCGAGTAGCTCTAGGGGTTAATAGTCAGGTGGAAATTTGCTTGCACTTGAAATAAAGATAGCCCTTAGGCTTTATAGATAGCCCCTGAATGAGAATTTTCTCGAACTCGGGTAACCCTTGGGCTTAGTAGTCGAGTGAGTATTTGCTCGAACTCGACTTGTAGGTTGTCCTTAATGATTTTTGACAAATTAATTTCCGATGCCTTGGTCCTGATGCCAATATCATGACATAAGCGGTTGAAGTGACTAAAAAGTTGCTTTGTGTACGATTCCCAAAATCATTAATTGGAGGTGACTAACGGTCGGCCTTTTGGCTTCCCCAGCATCCTTTATAAATAGATAGATCTCACAGCCTTACAAACTTTATCCCCATATGCTTTCAGAGTCCCATTTAGCCCTTTTCAATTTCCTTGAGCTCTCCCATCTCTTTTCTAACAACATTTTTCATTTTTTCTGATCTAGTGCATAGTGATGGCTAAAAATTCTAAATCTGTTCCTCAAAAGGAAAAGGCTCCTTCATCTTCTTGATCGACTAAGAATAAACCGATAGTGCCACCTCGTATCGATGAATGCATCCCCCCACCATGTGAGATAACATCCGATTTCAAAATTGAAAAACCTGTTTCGACACCAGGCCGATCTGAGCCTATGTCTCGATATATTTGTTTGGTGACCAAGGCCGAGCTCGAGCAAGTAGAGGAGGATTGCAAATGGGACAATAAGAAAATAGTGATTCCATCCTCTAAGGAAGATATCACTACTTTTAAAGCGGGGTACTTGGGCCTATATACTTACCCGTTTACAATGGGCCCTGCAATTCCAACTCAGCGTCCCACAGACCCAGTTATCTTCGACTTTTGACAACGATACCGAGTGACGCTCGGCCAGATCTACCCCTCCTTCTAGCGAATTGTTTACTTAATCAGGTTCTTTTCGAACCAAATCAAGGGGATGTCTTTTACCCTCGATCATGTGATCAGATTGTATAGTCCTCGACTTTATTGTGGGGGCTTGATAAAATTGAAACATTGATCTTTGAAATCCCTTTTCTCTAGTATTGATGAGGAAAAAGACCGTGGGTGGATGAGTCAGTTTGTCCGAGTCAAGACCTCTGATCTGATTCCTGCTAATTGGATGTCGTTCCCCGAGGAGTGGAACATGAAACGTGTGCGTAACCTACTTTCTTTTCTTTTCCTTGACTTTATATCTTTCTTTGATCTGACCTCTTTACGATGGCGTAACCACTGCTTGGTTTTTCGGTGGGGTCCCGGACCTTGCGGGCTGGGTCCGAAAGCTGGCCTCCGCCTCTTCTTACTCGAAGCATTGTTGGCGAGATCTGGCTAAGGGTTGATGGGAGGCAAAAAACTATGGTGAGTTCTCTTGTTCGTTTTTCAGTATTTCTGTTATGGGATACTAATCTTGATTTCACGTAGGTCTTGGAGACGCCGTTGAATTGAGGCCGGCCCCAGCTTGTGAAGTGGAGGCTCTGAATCCTCCCAAAGAAAGAAAAGGGAGGAGAGAGTCATCCTAAGATCCCCCGAAGCCGAAAAAAAGATTGGCTCGAAAGCCTAAGGCCGATGCAGCGGCCTTATCTCCGAAAATGGGCCAACTCCTTAGGGACCATGAGGAAGAAGAAGATGATGATTGCCTGCTGATAAATCGTAAAAGAAAGAATGCTGAGGCTTTGAAGCCCACCGAACCAGCGGTGGCTGATGAGGCCCACTCTAGAGTTGAAGAAGTTTCTGAAGGGAGTTCAAACAAAGTCCCCGAACCATCGTCCAAAAAGAAGGTGCCTCACTTAGAAGATCACTATAAGGGCGAGGCAGAACATCCTGATCCCGAGCCTCTTCAAATAAATGAAAATGTCCCCGAGCAGATCACTCGGGGTGATTAGCGTGGATAATTCTCCCTCTGGCCCCGAGTTTTCCGAGGGGAGAATCCAGGAGGCTATGAATATGAGATCTTCTGGAGTGTAAGTAAGCCATGAAGGACATGAAATCTTTCAAGAATGCCTCGCATGGCTCGAAGACGGCCCCGACCCAGATTCTTTCTTCATTTTTGAACAAGTGAGTTTTCTATTTTTATGCCTTTGTTTTAGCTATTCCAAATCTAACTTTCCTTATTTTTCATAAAGGTTGTCGTGCTCCACAAAAGGGCATTTTCCAAGTTTCGAGACGATCTTGCTCGGTGCGAGATCGAGCTTAAGAAGACTTTGGAGGAGAGGGATGCCGTCAAAGCCTTATATGCTAAAAAAGAGTTGGAGATCCATAATCTCCGAGTTGAGTTGACGCAAGTATGCCAAGGATAGGACGAGTACGTTGAAAGGTAAAACAACTCTCGAGGGTTTGCTATGCACCAGTTTATATTGGCGACTGATATTTTTAATTTTGCAGTTTCAGCAGAAGGCCGACTTGGAGGTGCAGCTTCGGGAGGAGCTTAAGATGAAAGAAAATGAGACCCTGGGGTTAAGGCAAGGTATGGACAATCTCGCCTCTGATATGGAAACCCTAAGAGAGCAGTTAGCTTCGCTTAGACGCCATCTTCGAGGTAAGAAGGAGGAGAGCCAAGATCGGGGCCTCGAGATCGAGGAGCTTAAACCCAAATCTACTGCTGAGCTGGCTAAGGCTAAATCTGATGCTGCATTATGGCTTCATATCGAGCCGATGCCGAGGATGCTAACTCTCGATCAAGGTAGATATCTTCTATTACGGGGGTTAAGTTAGCAAGTGCCCTTGACCATGCTAGGCGATAATCCCAGAGGATGACCCTCGAGGAGATATATGCCCGCGGCTTCGACCTTTCGGCCGATATTGAAGCGGAGAAGATTTTGGAAGAAGAGGCAGTTGTTCTGCTTTCCGATGACGATTCAGCCAGTGTCTCTAAGAGTTAAGAAGATGGGGATGAAGTCCCCGAGGGTGAGGCTCTGGAAGATGCGACTCCTGAAGATGCGACTACTAACGATATGACCCCGAAGTAGTTTTAGGTCACTTATTTTGTTTCCTTGTATGCCTTCCTTGTGTAAATATTTCTTGTAATCATCTTTTGGAAATACAAGGGGAACTTTTATCTCGTCTTTGGCTAATGCTAGTTTTAACATGGCCTATACTCAACATTGCCTTTTTTTATGGAGACTTCGTTTGGATGACTGGCTCGAGGATTGGTTCGGTATATTATAGACCCTTAGATAATTTTTGAGCCGATTTTAAACCAACTCGTTGTGGGCTTGGGATATTCTGACCCTCGAGTCAGAATTGAAAAGAAAGCAGAGTCTCGAACTATGAGTTTTAGTCCCTTAAGCCTTTCAGGGTTGGCCCTTAGGCTCTTGTTGATCGTTCCCCGGGTAGCATATAAGTGTTGCCTCGTTAAAACCTTACCGGTAAATCCCATTTGGGACAAAATCCGAGCTAAGGGAAAAAGAGTGCAACACATGCTTTACGACCTATGACCTTTGTGTAGGAAGGGGTATTCCCAAGATCATGAGCCTTTAAGAGCTTCCATCGCACCGAGCCTGTAAGATCCTTTATTAACGACTCCGAGGTCTTGCTATCCACGACCATGACCTCTCCGAAAGCCTTGACCTGGTCGGGGATGATTTTGATGCCTCGATTTGATACCACGAAGGTCGAGAAACTCAGCCGTGCCAACTCTAAGGGAACTCTTCTCTAGGTTCAGCTTCATGTCGTATTGCCCTGATATATTGATTATTTCCTGCAAATAATTTATAGTGGTCCTCTGTGCACAGGGACTTATTCGATCATATCATCAATATATGCTTTAATTATTTTACCCATTTATCCTTCGAGTGAAATCCCTGTCATATTTAAGCAATGCGATCTATATCATCAGCAAGAAACTAAATGAGTTTTTTCCTGAGAGCAGGAACTATTCCCTTTCCCAGGTGTACCTTTCTTTTCAGTGGTTGGCTCGATAGCATCGGGCTTACGAGGGTTCGATGATCTGGGGAATTCCTTTCTTCACCTTCAGTTTTCTGATATTCCGCTTCCGCTGATGCTCAGAGCTATTACTGCTACTTAGTCACCTACTTACCTTTAGAGGTCGATGTCTCCGAGGTCAAGGGTTTCAGTATCGACACCGCTTCTTCAATTGCGAACATATCTTTTGCAGCATGCTGTTCTTCGTGGAGTGTTTTCACTCCTTCCTCTGTTTGGAACTTTATCATCTGATGGAGAGTCGAAGGGACTGCCCTCATATTATGTATCCACGACCCCCCAAGGAGTGCGTTATACCTCATGTCACCTTCGATGACATGGAACCTGGTGCTTTGCATGGTCCCGGCTATGCTTATAGGCAAGATAATTTCTCCCCTCGTTGTTTCACTTGCCATGTTGAATCCATTCAACACCCGGGATGCAGGTACAATTTGATCTTGCAGACCGAGTTGTTTCACGACCTTCGATCTAATTATGTTCGCCGAGCTACCTGGATCCACTAAAACACGATTAACCTAAATTTTATTCAAAAGGATAGAGATAACTAAGGCGTCGTTGTAAGGCTGGGTTACGTCTTCTGCTTCCTTGTCGCAGAATGATAGAGCATCCTCGGGCACATAGCTCTGAGTCCATTTCTTCTTTGTGATGGATACTTTAGTACGTTTGAATGTAGGTCCTTGTGGGACGTTTTCTCCATCGATGATCATGTGGATGACATATTGAAGTTTTTCAGGTTCATTCTTCTTGTTTGCATATCTTTCTCGGAAATGGTTTTTGCCCGGTCACTAAGAAATTCATGAAGGTGTCCTTCATTGAATAATCGAGCTACCTCCTCTCTAAGCTGTCTGCAATCCTCGATCTTATGCCTATGAGTACCATGGTACTTACACATTACGTCAGGGTTTCTCTGAGAAGGATCTGTTTGTATGGGCTTAGGCCATCTAGTATCTTTAATTTTGCCAATGGCTGAGATGATATTTGAGGCGTCGACGCTGAAGTTGTATTCTGATAACTTGGGATCCTCCACTGGTCCCTAGCGCCTATCGGACCCAATTTTTCCCATGAATCCCCGGGAGTTTGGCCTCGATCTATTCTTTGATCATTCCAAGGTGCATTATGCCTTGAAATGTTCCTTCTGTCTTCGACATACGGTTGATATCTTTCTTTGTTGAATCTTGATCCCCGGTCTGTGTCCCTTGAGGGCTTGACTGTGAATCTTTTCGGGTGAACTGAGCCCGAAGGGGCTCCCAACTGGTCATCCTCGACCCTACTTTTTGACTGATACCAATTGTGTACATCCGACCATGTCGCAGCTGGATACTCGATCAAGTTCTGCTTTAGCTGTCGAGATGCTATCGAGATTCTTTCATTCAAACCTTGCATGGAGGCTTGAACTGCCCAGTCATCGGAAACCGGGGGTAATTCCATCCTTTCCATCTAAAACTGAGACACAAACTCCCTTAGCATTTCCCTGTCCCTTTGTTTTATCTTGAATACGTCTGATTTTCTTGTAGCCACCTTTACGGCCCCGACGTGTGCTTTCACGAAGGCATCCGCCAACATAGCAAACAAGTCAATGGAGTTAGGAGCTAAGTTATGATAACAGATCATAGCTCCTTTTGATAGTGTTTCCCTAAACCTTTTTAACAATACTGACTTGATTTCGTCATTATTCAAGTCATTTCCTTTGATTCCACAAGTGTAAGAAGTAATATGTTCATTAGGGTCAGTTGTTCCATTGTACTTAGGTATATCGGGCATGCAAAACTTCTTGGGAATGGGCATCAGAGCCGCACTCGAGGGGAAAGGTTTTTGTATGAATTTTTTGGCATCTAAGCCCTTCAAAACTGGAGGTGCTCCCAGTATCTGGTCTATCCGGGAGTTGTAAGTTTCCATCTATTTATCGTTGTCTTCTATCTTCTTTTCTCCTGACTCAATCCTTTTAGTTAGTTCTTCGAGAATTTTTATGATCGTGGGGTCAGTCCCCGAGCCGCCTTCATCGGGTATTTCTAATACTGGTTCATGCCGTGTGTTTACTGGTTCGGCGATGTTAGGAGTTCTGTTCTGACTTTGGAGTTGAGTGATGGCGCCTTGCTGTGCTTGAAACATCTCGAATATCACTTGGAGGCTGACTCTTCCTTCTTCTAGTCCTCATATTTCCTGGCCTCCAGCCTGGGCTTCCCTATGTGCATTCCTTACGGGGTCTGCGCCGCATCCGTGCTTAGAGCATTGTGTGAGCTGATGTCAACCGGCTCCACGTTAGGCATTCCCTCCTAGTTTTTGGGTTGTACACCGATCCCTATGCCACTATTTTCTCCAAGTCCCTCACTGTCATGAGCAGGTGCACTTTGTGTGCAAGACATATTTTGGCCTGAAATAAAAAATCTTTGACAAAAAAAGTGTGAAGAATAACGCGTGTTATCAAAAAACTAGCACTAAAATAATCACTATTATCTTTAGCCGTACGGTGGGCGCCAAACTGTTTACCTCGAAAAATATGAGTAACAATTAAAGATAATTTGTGGTTTTAAAGATACGTGATATAATCTAATACTAGTGATTAAATAAGTGATATTGAGCTTAAGTAAGAAGAAATAATAGACCGAATCAATGTTGTTGAAACAGTAGGGGCCTCGAGCTCTGCTATCCAGGGACCTCGAGGTTAGCTAAGATCAATAAAGTATCAATAATAAAGTAAAGGCAATAAAACTGAAGAATAATTGTTGAGCATGATAAACAAGAGAAGAATAAGAATGTTTTATTGCAGTGAATAATCTGACCTTTACAAAATGATTGGGGTCCCCTTTATATAGGAGGAAGAAACCCCAATGTAGTACCTTGCTCATAAAGGTAAATAATCCTATTGGTACAGGTGTATAACGGCCTAGTACGGACATGTACCATTTCGTACAACCCTTACCCGATAATTAATGCCTTGGTCCACGTGCCCTTGAGGAATTCCCGCTCTTTCTTAATTGACTTTGAGATTATGCTGCCCTCGATGTAGACCGTGTTAATCCTTCGATCATCTTCCTCGAGATAGGTGTCCCTTAGCCGAATCTGCCCCTACTTCGAGTCTCCCAAGCTCGAACTCATAGCCCAACCCAAGACTTTGAAATCGTGCTCCTTGATTTTGATCGCGTACACCTTCCTAGATCAAATTCTTGATGGATTTGCTGGCCGTGCTTTCTAAAGTTTCCTTGATGGGTATTCCGGCTACTATCAAATTCTTATTGCTCCGGAGGATCAAGAGAAAACTACTTTCACATGTCCTTATGGTAGTTTCGCATTCTCGGGGATGCTATTTGGGTTGTGCAATGCACCGACGACTTTACAAAGGTGTATGATGGCTATCTTCACGTACATGGTGGAAGATTTTCTTGAAGTCTTCATGGATGACTTTTCGGTGGTCGGGGATTCTTTTGATGATTGTCTAGCAAACTTAGACAAAGTGTTGGCAAGATATGAAGAAATAAACTCGGTGCTCAATTGTGAGAAGTGTCATTTCATGGTTGAGGAGGGCATTGTCCTTTGCCACAAGATCTCAAAGAATGGCATTGAAGTCGACATGGCAAAGATTGAGGTGATTTCTAAACTTCCACCTCCAATTTCAGTCAAAGGCGTACGGAGTTTCTTAGGCCATGCAAGATTTTACCGGCGTTTCATCAGGGATTTCTCTAAAGTGGTAAACCCGTTGTGCAAGATTTTGGAGAAAGATGCCATGTTTCATTTCAATGATGATTGCATGAGAGTCTTTGAGTTGCTAAAACTCAAGTTGACTACTACTACCATCATCACCGCTCCAAATTGGACTGTTCCTTTTAAGCTCATGTGCGATGCAAGTGATGTAGCGGTAGGGGCTGTTTTAGGGCAACATATCAACAAAATCTTTCATCTAGTCTATTATTGTCACAACCCAAAACGATGGGCCGTGACGGGCACCCGGTACCTTACTCAACCGAGTACCAATGTAACGTATCTTTATTATTACATCATCATATACACGTGACATACGGGCCTAATAGGCCAACATAATCATTTATAAACTCAAAACATAGGCCGACAAGGCCGTACAATCTTTCACGTACAAGACATATGTCTACAAGCCTCTAAGAATACATGTTTCATAACATCATCAGCCTCTGAGGGCATTCCATTATATCATACCGGCCACTGTGGGCAAAATCATCATCGTATACCAGTTGATCAGGTGGTGGTGCGTATATAACACCATAACCTTTCCCATATCCCATATACATATCTTTACATATATACGCATATATAACGTAATTTGAGTACATACATATATATGCGTATATAACGCCGTTTGAATCATATTTCAGCCACTGTGGGCAACATCATCATCATATACCAGCTGATCAGGTGGTCATGCATATATAACGCCGTAACCTTTTCCCATATCCCATATACATATATTTACATATATACGCGTATATAACGCCATTTGGTCATGGGTCAGTGCACATGAATGCAGTGCATAAAAAGTACGTCAATAAAATAATTCAGAATGTCATAAGACCATTTTGCCTCTGAGTAATATCATACTTTTCAACTTTCGTATTTTTCTGAGACCCATGAACAGATGATAAGACATTATAACACACGAAAATTCAAGAACACATATATCTCTAATACTTCTGTGAATAGAGTCATTCGTGGAATTTGTGCATTTGCACGTTCCGTTCATATCGTATAGATCATGCCAAAAGAAAGAAGGGATAGCCTTAACATACCTGACAGACAATTCAATGATTCAATATTTGCGCCAAAGGAACTGACGACACTATAGCTAGAAATTTCAACTTTTAAGCTGCTCACGAAAGCATTTTACAACCTCCCAAACCATTCACGGACAAGTCAATATGCTTAGTGTTCTTCATTACTTCTCACATAATATAAACTTTGTACTATTGAAAAACTTTGTAAAGACAGTGTATTTCCGCCTTTGAATTTGAAATTGGAGGAAATCATAAAATTTTCTACTATATTACAATCCCAAATGCTTTTAAATTGTGATCTATAAATCAAGAAAATGGGAAAAAGTGGAATTGGCTGATTTAGGAAAGCAAAGTTAAAATTGGAAAGTGGAATTAGATAGAAAATAGAAAAAATGGAACGATTAAAGGGAAGGGGCAAGGCGGATAAAAATGACGATTTTGATACCTTTCCATTCTAAGTCATGAGTCATTTGACTTGAATGGAGGGGTTTCCACCTCATGCTTATTCAATGCATATCCCCAATTAATTTGGTAATGTTCCGTTACTCGGCAATTAATCAATTACCCACATAATTTAAAAATTATCACAAATTACTTAAAATTCTATTTATTTTTAAAAATACTTCATATATACTTTATACATTATACTACCGTGGTCATATGGTACCTCGCATGGTACTAGTTTATAATTATTGAGTATTATCGCTTGACCCGTATTTTATTTTAAATTGACTACTTTCAACGAAACTCGTTTTTTCTAATCCGTGTACCCTCTTATTCTTCATAACACTTATTTATTGCCTGCTATAAATAGCGTAAGTACGTTAACGTCAAGATGATCTCATTCCCGATCTTACATCGGTTAACTGAAAATAAAATTTTAACGTACAATACTTTAGGGTGCAACATCGTTGTAACTTAATACTGCGAAACGTGACATCACCGTAATGTAATACTGCGGGACATGACATCTCACTTCCGGGCTCTCATTAATTTATTTATGGCGTATTTTCATGTACAAAAATATGGGGTGTAACAATTATGCAAGCAAGAGCATGAATAGTGCCCAAGTCAACTACACTGTTACAGAGAAAGAGCTTCTTGCAATTGTGTTTGCTATTGAGAAGTTTCACCCGTACTTGATGGATGCAAA